CTGTGTGCAAAAGATGGGCAGTGTCGGGCAGTGGAAGGAGCAGACACCAGCCAGCTGTTGTGTGTTGTTGATCCATTTGTGTTACCATGTCAGTCTGAATGAGGTATCAGGCAGGACTAATGTTGTTTGAGTGAGCTGTCTAAACTTTAAGCCTAAATACCATTCACCAGATTTGCTCATGGTCCAGATTTACACCCTCATTTAGGTTTAAGAGTCACAGGGTCAAAGTGTTTCACTATGGCTAGCTGTTGCAGCCTAAAGGACATCCTACACTCACTGACACAGTGGTGCCAGGAAATGGCAGCAAAGATGAGCCAAGATATCTTTCTTTTTCATCTGTCCCCTCCAGAAATCACTACAGGTCAGTCTGCTCTCAAAGCAGAGCGTTTTACAGCCCCAGTACATATGAAGTATAAGGCTGGACCTGAATATCTGACTATTTAAATATTATTTCATTGGGTAGGTAACAGATTTCCAATTTTAGTATTTCACCGCCACCGCACAGCAGTGCCAGCGACACCTACAATCTTATTAGCAAAGCTCTGTGTGGAAATCATTCAAGTAGCAGCTTCTGCCGATCATTGCTATTTCTGGTTAAAATGACAATCAGCTGGGTCATACCAGCTGCTGCTAACTAAAGTTAACTCCATGACTTAAAATGATTACAAGACAAAAGTGTTTGTTGTCGGGTTTGTGACCTTGCCACAGCTGGTGGACAAACAGACAACAGGCTGTCTGCTGTTAGCTGAAGATCATTTATGAGCCTAAGGGGCATCACTTGGTAACACCACTGAATAATGAGAGTGAACTGAGTTTGTCTCCATCATTCCTACAACTCCAACAGAGTGAGACGTCTAAAACTAGCAGTCGATCTCACATTAGTGATGGAAATGCAGCACATTTTGTGTGCATGCAAGTGGTTTGTTCATCTGTTACATTAGATATTACATAATAACTTTCATTAGCTTTTAGTTTTGTTTTTTAACCCAAAGTACTGCCAGATGGGCAAAGAGGTACTCGGCAAAATGCCAGCCCAAAAGATGCAATGAAGTAGTGCTGTTTTAAGCTAAGCAGACTGCTACACATTGTGTCCTATGCACATAGTGATTTAATGCATGGTGTTGCATTACTAATCACAAATCAGATACATTATTTATATGACAAACAATAAGTTCAATTTCTCACATGACCTGTACTCTGAACCTATAAAGGATTTTTTGTGCTTGGCACTACTACCAAATTAAGGAAGGAAATTAAGTGAAAGTCCCACTTTACCTCTAGCGCAAGAGCTGTTTTGTCATAGGCACACGGCACTCGTTTCTGGATGGCTTTTGCCATGACGGGGCCATTCTGCATGGATGGTAGAGGAGTGATAACTGCTCCAGGTGTGCCAGAGGGCAAGGGGGTCGGTGTTTGGGGCTGGGCATAGGCATGGACGAGGGAGTGGGAGGGTTCAGGGATTCCATAGCTGTTGGAGTTTCGAGATCCGTGGGATGGCTGGCCAGGGTGGGGTGAAGGTCGGACCAGTTTCTCCACGTAGGGCACAGGAATCATCCCAACACGTCCCTCTTTACTCTTGGCACTCCACCACTGCTCCTCAGGCTTCTCTAGGATGATAAGGATCTCCCCCTTCTTGAAGGGAAGGTCCTCTGCATCACTGCCAGTGAAGTCATATAGTGTCCGCACATACTCCAGGTTCTCCTCTGGGCCGCCCATGGGCTGGATGGAACCACTTACTGTGCTTGGATACCTTGGGAGATCACAACAATGAGGCAAAGGAGTGAGACATAACATGGTTACCATAAAATGTTAGCTACTCTCAAGTGGATAACAAAAAATCTGGAAATAGTCAACTAATGAAATTCTGGGCAGGTTTACCTCAAGCATCATATTTCTTTGTTGAGAGGTGTTTATTAAATGTCAGTGCTAGGTCAGACAGCCCATTTTATGTGAAAATGTGATTTACATATGCCTCTAAAAGTACTATTTGCATGTAACTATTTAGTAGCAGTGTGTATACAAGTTAGTGGCTTAAACAAAGGCAAATTTAAGATTCATCTTAATATCTAATGTCTTGAAGCAAGGTAGGAAAAATAATGCCACATACAAAATAACATCAGGCAGTCAACCAGTGTTGAAGCAACAAAAGGTAATATCTAGTCAGAGTTATAGGTTGTAAGCAAACATTTTAAATAGACTACATAACCTTACAAACCACAAGCCTAAAGCTTCATGACAACTGCTGCAGTCTGGCTGAAAGGATAAGGACAATCACCTTTATTTGGCCAAGTATGTTACACACACACACAAGGAATTTGTTTCCAGTATAGAACCAAGGCAGCCGTCTGCCAACTCACACTGATGGCTCTAACCATTGGGGGCAATTGGGGGGTTCAGTGTCTTGCCCAAGGACACTTCGACATGTGGACTGCAGGCACCGAGATTCTAACCTTCAACCTTCTGGTTGGGAGACGACTGCTCTACCCACTGCACTGTCGCCTCCCCCAAAAGTAGGTTACTTCTGACAAAAATAGCCTATTTAATCTACATCACACAGTAACACACAACAGCGAAGCCCATAGTTTTACTGGCATTTAAATCAGGAAATGCATCTTTTACAACCATAGTAGTTAGTGAAAGGGTACTGAGTGACTTTCCTACCTGGGTGCTGGCTCTATCAGTGTGGTTGTATCCAGGTAGTGGATTTTGTAGAAATCCAGGAGAGCAGTGAGGTGCTCAAATTCTTGATCTCCTATCTTAAACTTCTTGCTGGGCAAAGAGTTGATGATATAGTGAGACACTTTGGAGTTTTCAGACACTGACAGCACGTAATCTCCGGGACAGGTGGACGAATCTCGAACAAGAAATATGCCATGTCTCTGTCCTTGTAATCTGTTCTGTGCTTCTTGTCGTGACACAGGTCCAAAATACCAAGAGGACCGATCAGACGAATCAAACCGGGCAGTTGACATTTCTGTTCACAAATAAGTTAATATCAGTCTACGGCTATGAAAAAAAAACTAAATAAGTTAAAACGTGTATGCAAACTGAATGGTTTTCTAGATGCAGGGCTGGGAATTCGTCGCCGTGAGGATTTCCAGTGATTCCTGCACAAACGCTGGAGGCTCCGGGGAGCTCTTATTAAAACAACATACACACACCAAACACAACCTGACGTTTTCAGAGGCAGGCTGCGACCGGCTGCATCCAACTTTGGAGCATAATGTGGTTCCTGTGTTAAGCAGTCAATGGCTGAGGGGCTGTCTGAGCGGCCAAAATAGAAAAACTTACGCCAAACATCGACGGAGGCCGAAGCAACAAATGATCAATGAAGCTTCCTCTTTTCGTTGCGCCTTCCGAGAAGACACCGGGCTTCTCTTCTAATAATGTATTTTCTCGAGTGTCAATTATGAGAACGGAAAATGTGGCCTCAGTTTTTCATCTGATAAATCCTCGGGACTGCAATGGTCTCCAGTAGCCGCAAGTCGGAAACAAAACAAATACTTTTTATCTGCTTGCTCTTATGATAAGGCAAGCGTCATGGAAATGCGTTTGTGGATCCTCTTTCTTAAGTCAGAGCAGACTTTTGAGGCAACACAGCAAAAAATGGCGGCCCGCAACACGTCTTCAGACAAAAAATTATTTCACAGCAGCGGTTTGTCTGCTGCTGCGCGTGCATCCCAGGAACAACAATAAAATGGAGCGCTCGCGTGCATTCCCGACTGCTCACGAGGGACCTCGGCTTAAGGGTTCTACAAATTTTCGACTTTCCCTTATATCTGCTCGTGCCCCCTCTCCCGAGCAACCATAAGTACGAGTAGAGAGCGAAAAATGGCGGCGAGAGGGCAGGTCCCGCTTTCTATCTGCACGTCACTGACGTCTAGAAGAGCAGAAGGAAAGAGGAAGGGGGTGGGCGAGTGATGACGAGGACACCAACAGCTCCCCACCCCCACGCGTAGAACAAGGTGTCAATCATATTTCCTTGACACAGCTAAGAGAGCATTTTGTATGACAAACGATAAAGTCCTATAATTTCCGCAACCTAAAACAAAATATATTATAGGCCTTTTTAAAACAGCACTAGGACGTTTTCGTGAGGTCCTGTCTTTCTTTGGGCATTATTATTAATATAAAACTTATATCAACATAAAATGTGAATAAACCTCAAATGATCTTGTGGGCTACGTCCCAGCTAAAGTAAGTGTTTTGGAGTAGTTGGCGAAACAGAAGGATTTATTTCACAATATTACTCAGGACTTATAGAGCCCTAAATGGCTCAGCCCCTCATTATATCCTGATTCCCTTATATTTGTATGCTCCCACTAGGTCACTTAGGTCTAGGGACCAGCTGCTCAGATGGATACCCAATGAACACAGACTAAACAAGTATAAGTTCTAGTGTGTATCTGTTGTGTTTGGTAGGGTTTTCTTTGTAGTATTATGTTGGTCTTTGGTTCTTGTTACCATTACTAACTCTGAGAGACGAGGCAGTCCAAGTAACTTCAAAACAGTGCTGATTTATTCAAAGGATCACAGGTAAAATTAACATTACACGCTCAGGTATCTTGCACCTCCAAACTGCAC